TGGAGACTTCAATTATGCTGAAATCAACTGGAACAATAAAACACTATATAGAACTGAGAAACTAAATCAACTGTTTTTGGACAGCTTTAATGAAACGAATATTTATCAAATAATAGATTTTTCCACACGTTTCAGGGGTGATCAGGATGCGCTTCTGGATTTGTTTCTAGTAAATAATAAGAAACTGATTTACAACATAGAAAGTGATTCACCATTGGGCCGCAGTGACCATTTGGTTATTACTGGAAAAACGCAACTCGAATATCCAACTAGATCTACCAATAAAATACGAAAACAAAACTTTTGGAAAGCCAACTATGAACAAATAAATGTATTTCTTGCAGAAAACTTGAATTTTGACCCTTCACATTTGGAAGAAAACAGATATGAAAAAATCACCAAAATTATTGACGAAGCTATTACAAAATTTGTCCCATTTACAACTAAAATAATAAATTCTAAAAAACCATGGATAAATCAGAATATTTTTAAAAAAATTACTAACAAACGAAAATTATGGGATAAATATATTAAATCGCCAACACCCGAAAACTATACTGCATACAGGACGGAAAACAACACTCTAAAAAACATAATCGCAGTGCTAGACAAAACTACGAAAAATCTATCGCCTCTTCCAGCTCACCAAAACAATTTTTTAAATATATTAATAGGACTCTGTCTACAAAAGTATCCAGTTTCACTCTTAAAAACCCCAACAATGGATTACCTATCATGGACGACTGTGACATTGCTGAGGAATTTGCACACCGGTTTGCATCAGTCTTTACGACAACCAATGACTCTTACATTCCAACGCTTTCACAGAGTTCTAGGCTTCTGCAAGAGATTACTAACATAGAATTTACAGAGCTCAACGTTAGCGAAGCCATAAAATCATTAAAAACTGACAGCAGCCCGGGTCCAGATAGTGTACCGACTGTTTTTCTTCAGAAATGTTGTCATGCCCTCGCACAACCTTTAGCATGTCTATTTAATGATTTACTAATATCTGGCAAATTTCCAGATACTTGGTCTCTTTCTTTCGTTACACCGCTTCACAAAAAGGGAGACAGACAGTTAGCTGGTAATTACCGACCAATTAGTCTAACTAGCTGCATCTGTAAATGCATGGAAAAGGTAATCATCCGCACACTTACTCCATACCTAATGGAAAAAGATGTCTTACCCAGCACACAGCATGGATTTCTTCCTGGTCGATCCACAATAACGAACATGACATCTTGTCTTAGCGATTGGACAGCAGCCTTTGATAGAAACCAACAAACAGACGTCATCTATCTTGACTTTGAAAAGGCATTTGATAAAGTACCCCCCAGATGCTTCTTTATAAACTAAACCACTACGGCATAAGAGGGAATTTATTCAAACTTATATCAAACTTCCTAACCCGACGCTACTTCAAGTCAGAATAAACGGATCTCTTTCAACTAAACACAAAGTGACCAGCGGTGTTCCTCAAGGCTCTGTGTTGGGCCCACTGTTGTTCCTCCTGTATATCAGCGATCTGGCAAGAGGCATAAAAACGAATATCATATTTTTTGCGGATGATACAAAGTTATATGCAAATCCCGAAACGAGCTACGTCAATCTTCAGCATGATCTAAGGTTGGTGGAATCCTGGGCCAAACAATGGAGAATGAAACTGAATGAGGACAAATGCACTGTTCTTAGCATTGGAATGAATTGTACGCACAAAACCTACACCCTAAATGAATTAAGTCTAAGACATGTAGAACAACAGGAAGATCTAGGGATTACAGTTACTGGAAACCTAAAATGGTATGTGCATATATCAAAGATTACTAAAAAAGCAAATTCTCTTCTTTATTTCATTCAAAGAGCATTTCAAGACCGCTCTATTGATCTTATTTTAAAGATATACAAGTCCTACATTAGACCCAAAATAGAATATGGTCAAATAATATGGAGTCCCTATTTTCAGAAGGATATTGATCTCATCGAGAAAATTCAACGCAAGGTGACAAAAATGCCCCATGAACTTAAGGATCTAGAGTATGAAGATCGTCTTGCGATGTTAAATCTCACCACATTAAAACAGAGGCGTTTGCGGGGGGACTTGATAGAGACTTACAAAATTCTAAATTGTTTCTACACTTGCCCATTAAATATATACCATCCTTGCCAAACTCCACAACTTAGAGGCCACAGCAGACGCCTGGAAAAGGAAAGATCGTCCAAACTCCAGCGAAAAAATTTTTTGACTAACCGCATAGTGTACCCGTGGAACTCGCTGTCAGAAGAAAGTGTTTCAGTACCAACTCTCAACTCATTTAAAAACAAAATTGATCAAGAAATGAATACCTTGAGTTCTGTACGCTTGCATTACGGCCAGTAAACTCGAAAAAATTACGCGCAACATAAAAAGACAGTAGACTCATCGGTATTTTTATACCGCTTTCTATTGTGTAAATAATAATAATAATAATAATAATAATATATTACAGAAACAAAATAAATAATAATACATTTATAAAATAATAGTAAATTATTATGTTTGTGAATTAATTTTTGTGTCCGAAATACCTTCATAAAATTCTTTAGTTCAAAAGTCTTATAATAAAAATTAAATCACCTTATCTTTAATAACACAGATTGTTTGTAATTTAAATTTCATAATATATTATACGATATTGTACAAAATTAAAAAAGGAATTTGAAAGACCTACTAAAATAAAAAAGTAAGCGATACATGCATTATTATAAATAGTAAATTTAAATCACTTTTTTTATTGAATACACATCACTTGTCTAAAACGAATAATGTGGAATAATATAGATAATTTTAAAGTATGGGGACTCACGTTATACCTATGTATGTGTATATCACTGGTATGGATATCATTATTGTATTCAAGTATTGTAGGTTGAGAAGATTCAGAAATCAGACTTTCATATGAGCTTTTAAGACTCTTTGAAATTCTGCAAGGGAAGACTGATACTATATTGGCGAAATGAATTGGGTAGTGCAGATACGTAAATATTACACTTACGTTCACTATACCTACAGGAAGAAATCAGGTAGAATATCATCGCAATATACAACCTCGGGGAATCAAAATTCAAATGCTAACGTCTCAATTGCTTCGTTATGTGTTATATAAATGCTACTATAACATTAGAAAAATTTACTGCAGGCAGGGAGAGAAATCTTCAACTCTGAGCAATCATGGACCATAAACCATGATTCTTGGTTTTCGTACACTTTCTACATTATTTGCAGCTGCGCTGGTATACTTTTTTACTGTAAAGCTGGCAGGCATTAATCTTTAACTTGCAGTTAAGTTAGTAAGTCCTGTGTGCACTAGTGTTCTCCAACGGAAGACAAAAAGTCACGATGCAATGAAGACTTGATACCCCTTAATACTACTATTATATTAACACTATTATATACCGTATGATCGAATAAAAACGGCGTCCGCGATGGCTATGAAATGAAGATCGCTGTCATTTTATATGTAAAATTATATGGGAAATGTCATCGATCGTCATTTCCAAGCCAACTGGACGACGTTTTTTTCGATCATACGGTATTACTATTATCCTTCTATTATTAATAAGAAAGGTTAAATTTAGACTTTAAATGCGAAAATACAATATGAGAAATAGAGTTGATTTTGTCAACCCTGTAACTCAACCTTTGTCAACCCTGTAAATAGTCATAAAAGTGACATTTAACACCTCCCCTCTCCTCAACCTCATCGTCTATCATTGGGGACTTTTGACACATATCAGACCAAGTCTAGAGAAATCATTTAAAACCATTTTCAAAACTGTGGGATTTTTTTCCACCGATTTTTCTAATTTGACTGGGCTACAGCACAATAAATTACATTTGACAATGATAAAATAATAGGTTGACAACTTAAGGTATGTTGACATTTACCTGGTTTTGCATTTGTTAGCTGTTCAGTTTTAATTTAAAAAAATAGATGCAGTTTTTCCTAAATTACTTAAAATTGGTTTGTCTTAAATTGTTAAAATCGGTATACGTATTCAGCATACGCAGACCTTTAAAATTCCTATTTACGACTAAGCTGTAAAATTAAAAGGAGAGCCAATATTTGGACAGTTCAAAATTTCCATGGGATTTCCTATGTTTCCAACGACGATGTAGGTACCACCCGGTATAATATGTATGTATTTATATTTATAATAAGTAATAAGTACATACATATTTATTTATAATAAGTAATAAGTACATAATAGTTCATATGTTATATGAAATTAACAAAATCGTATTTGATTCAAATTCGAGATAAAATACATTAATAATTTTGACCATATACCTATTAAATATTCTCCATATTTAAAAAAAATGTCTCCATAAAAAATGTTCGTCCATATTACAGTAAAAAGTTGTTTATCCTTTAACAATAAAAAAACTAGAATACCTTACTATACCAGTTATTCTGTAAACTTTGCCAGTACGTTTTAAGACATAGGTACACCAACCAACAACAGTCTTAAAATTTGGGAATCTTTATTTTAGTGTGTGATATCTCATATCTAAGATTTTTGATTGATAATAATAATATGACTGTGTTATACTCTAGTTTTCTCAGATAGATTAATAGTGAAGTTAAGGGAGGTTTTCAGAATATTACTTATTCGGTGGGTAAAATATGGATTGTGGTAAGTTTTGAACAAATTTTAATTAAATAAATAGGTAGCAATGTATGTGTTAATGGTCCGATTCTGAAAGATTCCAAATTTTAGCTAAATTATTTGTTTTGTTTGGTAAATAAATTAATGTTAATGATTTTGATTTGATAACGTAATCATCCATTTCCAAACATGTCACTCAAAAATAATTAAGAATATGTTTTAAATAAGTTTCAAGAACTAGCACATATTCAAAAGTATTTTGTCGTTTCAAAAGATTTTCACACATAGAGTGTGAAAATCTGCATGGCTGAGAAACCATTTGTTATTAGGTTTTTGTATTATATACGTACCAATGCGACTTTCAGCTTCCAATATCGTTATATTCGTGAAATTATTCTTTAACAGTCTTGTAGCAGCTGCAACGCCAGCTGCTCCACTACCAACAATAACAATATGGGGGTTAGGATGACAACTCACCCATTGTATACTTACACTAACTGAAAAAATTAATAAATTAAGTAACATGGCTAAATAATAATTTGCGACTGAGTACACTAAATAATTTAGACGCAATATTTTGGAGATAAGACATTTTTAAAATGATTGACCTGTAACAGTAATTATTATGTGATATTTTGACCATCCATTCTTAGAAGCATTAAAAGTTCGACCAACTGTAATATAAAGCTTTAAATACAGATATAGTTATTGCATAATTTTGTAAGATAAACTGTTAATTTTTTTACCAACTTGTTTATTTACAAATTTAAGCTCAGGAAGTAGGTACCATGCAAAGTACAAAGTGCTTCAATAGTCGTTGATCAAATTTCAACAGCAAATTACAATGTTAAAAATGATAGGTATTGCTTATAGACTTTTTCTGGTGAAGATTAATGTTAAGAATCAAAAATATAGATTGTCAAGGAATCTCAGTAAAAAATGGTGTCTTAAAGAATTTGTGTCATGAGTGATTAATATTATTTCTTTGTAAAAACCATCATGGGAGTGAATTCTACGGTTCCTATACTTGATATGGTATATGATTTAAAACTTCCTTATATTTTTTATAAGAGGATTATTTGTAGTCTTCCATATAGGATCTCTAAATTATCTTCTATATACCGGGTGCGTCTCAAAAGTGGCTCACTTCTATAACTTTTTTAATTTTTTCAGTTAAAACATGAGATTTGGTATGTTAGTATAATGACAGAAATTAGGATTGATTGACGTATTCAATTGTTTTCGGTTACTTCCTGTTTCACCGGAAATGACTGTAACTTTTGGTTTTTAAATGGCACCCTCGGTATTTTTTTACGTTATTTGATAGAAAATAACACTCTGAATCGAATGAATGAATGAACTTTGACTGTTTCGCATATGGTTTATATGAAATTATAACTTGCGGTTCGTAACGAAAATTTGACTTGAAATACCAAGTGTGTGGTATCAAATTATTCGTAAAAAAATGCCTTTTCCAAATATGATACTGAGCCATCCTCGTTCCATTTGAAAAAACTGAGATATGATTAAAAAATTGATAATTAATAAAAATTAATTAATAAATGATTTGGGCATTTACCAGAATTAGTGTTTTTAACATAGCCATGGCACTCTAGATTGAATTTTAAAATACGATTTCTTATTAAGCGAGAATGTCAAAAGTTGACATATGATATGTTATTCGATTCAGAATGTCTTTTCTCTCAAATAAAGTAAAAAAATACCGAGGGTGCCATTTAAAAATCAAAAGTTGTAGTAATTTCTGGTGAAACAGGAAGTAACCAAAAGCAATTGAATATGTCAGTCAATCCTAATTTATGTCATATATTAACATACCATATCTCGTTTTTTTATCTGAAAAAATAAAAAAGTTATAGAGATGAGCCACTTTTGAGGCGCACCCGGTATAATAATAATAAATATATTTATATGCAGAATAAAAATACATTTAATAAACCAGCAATAAATTTGCGGCTAACCTAAAAAGAGAAGTAAAAATGAAGAAATAAGAAAAATAATATTATTAATTAATACTATGTCATATACTAGCATATCCAATCTCGTTTTTTATCTGAAAAAATAAAAAAGTTACAGGGTCGAGCCACTTTTGAGAATCACTTGGTATCCTAAAAACCAATAAGTACCCAATTTCAAACTTTAAAGATTAAAATATCAATGTTGATGTCATTCATTATTATTATTTATTGATAAAATTTTTCAATAAAACGCACTATTTATTTTACTTTTATGTCATTATTTAATTTTATATAATTTACTAAATACAGGGTGAGTTTTAAATAAGTGCAAATATTTTTAGGGGTAGTATATTTCTATCCCAGAAACACGTCTATAAGGTTTTTTTTGCAAAATGTTTTTTTTTATTTTTAGTTAAAAAATATAATATCTTCATAATATGGCAATATTGATAGTAGATTAAATTTACAAGAAACAAAATATTTTATGGGTATATGTGGAGAGACAATGGACCTACACAGTTTAAAATTATTTTGAAATATACAGGGTGTTTTAGAACTAAGATACATATCAAAGTTATATTTTTTCTTATGGAACACCCGGTATTTTATTCCATTTTTGGATTCTTGGGCACAAAAAAAGGCATTTATTATAAGGGTTAAATATGTCTAAAATTTTTGTTTTTTGAGATATTTATAGATATTTAAATTTGCATGCTACAATAAAATAGATTATTAACACCCTGTACATTACTTTTCATAATTAATTCTTGTGCTGAGTTTAAAGGTAGAGAAATAAACTTTACTAAAAAAATGGTATTGCTTCCTTAAATTTATACAGGGCTATCAAAAGTTGCTGATCTATTTTAAGGATGTATTTTATATAAAAACTTCGTTATTTCAAATACAACACCCTGTATTTTTTTAAATAAATCGAAACAGATTCAAATGCTCTTTCAAACTTTATTAGGGTTTCCTATACCTATCTAACACAGATTTTGAATAAAAAGCGATTTTTAAATAAAATTGTAATCAAGATGGCTGGTGTCGCCATGGCAATTTTCTAGTGACAGTTAGTAACTATTTTCAAAGTCGACATTAGTTTATGGACATTATTATTTATAATTTATAACAGTTTATTTTAATTTACCTACAATAGTTTAATAAGTAAGTACCTATTCATTATTTTATCAAGAAAAATACAGCAGTATCTGCTGGCGGAACGAATAGATATGTTACCAGTGATTTTATTTTGTGAGGAAAATTACTTCTTGGCGTCAAGAGCTTATGCTCAAAGATATCCAAATAGAAATCTTCCTTATAAGCGTTCCTTTGAAAAAGTACTTGTCCTATTTCGCAGAGCTGGTATTGTGGTTTATAAAAAAACTATTAGGCAGAAACCTGTCGTTGGAAGTGAAGAAAATTAATTTGCCTTAATTGGTTCTTTTATAGAAAATCCAATATATCTACAAGTCATAGTAATATAAATCAAAGAACTACTTCTTTATTTTTCTTGATAAAATAATAATAATTACTTACTTTTTATACTATTGTAGGTAAATTAAAGAAAAGTAAACTAACATAAATTTAAATAAAGTGCATAAACTAATGTCGATTTTTAAAATAGCTACTAACTGTCACTAGAAAATTGACATAGACCATCATAGGCATCTTGATTGCCGTTTTATTGAAAAATCGCTTTTTATTCAAAATCTGAGCCAGATAGGTATAGGATACCCTAATATAGTTTGAAAGGGCATTTAAATATGCTTCGACTTATTTTAAAAAATACATAGTGTTGTATTTGAAATAACGAAGTTTTTATGTAAAATAGATATTTAAAATAGACCAGCAATTTTTGATACCCCTGTATACATTTCAGGAAGCAATACATTTTTTTAGTAAAGTTTATTTTTCTGGCTTGAAAGTCAGGCCAAGAATTTACTCTGAAAAGTAATGTATAGGGTGTTGACGAACTTTTTTATTATAGCATGCATATTTAAATATCTTTAAATATCTCAAAAACCAAAGCTTTTAGACATATTAAACCCTTATAATAAATGCCTTATTTTATGCCGAAGAATCCAAAAATGAAATAAAATACTGGGTGTTCCATAAGAAAAAATATAACTTTGGTGTGGAACTTAGTTCTGACACACCCTGTACATTTGAAAATAATTTTAAATTATGCACATTGCCTTCCTACATATACCCATAAAATATTTTGTTTCTACATCTTTCCGTTTTCGTACAATCCACCGAGGCGAATGAGATGCGCCACCCTGTATAGAGTTCTGCATTCGAGACCAAAAGGTATATCAATATTATCATGTCTAAACTTGAGATTTTAGTAACAGAATTGAGCTTAATTAAAAAAAAATGCCATAAAAAATTCTAGCACAATTTGATTTTTGGATATTTGGCGTTTTTTATAAAAATATTTCTGAATACATTATAAATAATAATATGTTTTAGGAATCACATTAATTTAAATTGTTTGGATTACTCACATGTTAATATTACAAATTCTTTATTTTTAAATATGAATAATATATAGTTAATTAAAATTGGGTAACATTGTTAAAAGCAAATAAAATGTATTGTTTATATTCCAGTCATAATAATTTTCCTACACGATTTTTGTTTATTTGATATTATATATCCACACCTACATATTTTCATTTTATTAGCATATATTTTATTTATTTCATCATTATCATATTTTGATAATTAAAAAAAATCTATTTAATATGATATACTCGCTGGTCTCGCAGTTTGTAATACCTGATTATTTACAATAATAATATATTTTTTCATTTTGCATCTATAATAATAACCGAAGACAGTTAAAATTTCTGTTAGGTATTTAGTTATTGATTTTCAAGAATTTTCTAGAAAGGAGATATACAGAAGAACAAACGGCAGACATAAAAAATAATCTTAAAATTAGACAAAAACTCAAAGTATAAAACTACCGATTAGGTACCAACAATGAAAAAAGCTATTTTTTTGAGAGGAATTATTTATTATTATTAAGTTTATTTTACGTCTGTAACATTTTTATAGGTAGATATACAAAATGTTTCTAGGTATTAGTAATAATATACTTTATAAACACATTAATTAATATAAAAATAAATAAATATTTAATATTATGTAAACTTTGACATGAATAACATTACAATTTCGTTATTGTATCTAAAATGTGTTACTCATAAGTTGGGCAATATTATTAAAATGTCAAATAAACTCATTTGTTTTGTGCAAAACGTCTGTTAATTTTACAATGTGATAATATGTAAATTTATTTCTATTTAACTATCTATATTATCGTAATTTATTAAAAAAATAATTTAAAACTCTTAATTTTCTTCAATAATATTCTCAATGCTTTGTTAGAACAAAATAATCTTCATTTTTCTACAATAACAACCGACAAATTTAACGTTTCCATTGTCTATCGAGATATCTATTCTAGAATTTTCCAGTAAAGAATTATACAGGCAAAGCAAACGAAGGGAAGCGCCACATAAAAAAGGAGGGCAGCATGAAACTACGCAGCGCCTTTATTTAGACGCACAATAAACGATTACGTAGAGTGAGACAAACTTAATCTATTTTAATAGAGTAGAAAAAGATCGGTAGATGCAGGTGACGTGTTTCACGGGCTCGACGCGATCAATACTCACTGCAGTGGGGTCACGTAGGCTAGCGTCGTTTTCTAGAAAATTCCGCTGGAGGGGGAAACAGTTATTTAAGCGAAAATCGCGGAATTTCGCGTCGCAGTTTGTTCAATAGTGTCGTTGTGTACGTACGAAGACCGAAGATGTGAAAGTATGGGCAAAGAGTATGGTGAGAGTTCTCAATATGGGCGTCCACGCAGGCAACTATACCAGTAAAGTTTCTAAAGGATTTGTATATTTATCTTTTTTATATCTTCTATTATTCTTTTAGTAGATTTTTCAAATTTAAATAGATTTTGCGTGGTGGTATGGTAAAGCATCTTGCATCTGGCCAAATGCTTAGACAGTTTTGCTGTACGAACCACGTGTACATTTTAATTTTTGATTCTAAAAAGTATTTTTTCGAATATTTCTACTTTCTACATGTTTTTAAACTCGTTTTTATTGTTCTTGGTTGTGTCACAAGCATTTTTATCCGTTACTTTCAGAGAAAATCCGTCTACTACACACGTAATAGCGTTCTGTATTGATTCCAATATGGCGCCTTAGATTCGTAGGGTGCGGTCTCAAAGTAGGAACGCGCAGGTCCATTTTAAGGCAGAGTAAAAATAATAAGACACGTCGATAAACGAAAAACAATGGTATGGTCGCTCTCACATATTATTTCATTAACACAGTAAAGTATTCTAATAAGTTTTTTATTTTCATACATTTATTATTTTGTTGTAAAGTATAAACGTTTAGAGAAGCCCTGGTGCTTCGTTTAGGTGATCTAAACTGGTCTTTCGGGACCAGAACACTTAGCATTTTTCTAGATTGTAATCATCGATTTTCGAACGAGTACGATGGAGATAGAGATTAGAAAGAGTGGGAAAGAAATGTTAGGAGAGCGCAATAACACTTTTGTCCGGATTCTCCCGGAACTCCCCCCTCCCAATACCGTCGAACAATATTGACAGATACTCGAGACTAAAAGTATTTTGCAATATGACAGGATCAAACATTTTGGTGTGTGGTTATTTATAATAAGAACTTGATAATCTTTTACTCTAATATTATTACTTTTTTATTAACAATTTTTACATCTGATGTGCTATATATATAATTTTGATATCGTATTATATTTTTTATCAGACACTGCCTGCAATTTAATAACTTTTATACAGTTTTTTAGTATATTTTTTATTGATGTTTTGATGCAAAGAGAAGAACTTATATGTTTTAAATCGTATTTATAGTTATTAAATTCAGAAGCGCTGCATATGCATATGCTCATGTCCCTTTTATTATTTTTAACCAATATTTTTATATCTACAGTTTTCCAAATATGACATTGTAGTTTCCCCCGTATAGTACTATATTTAATATATAACATTATTTTACAACCAAACAGAAATTCTATGGCGTTTGTACAAACAATATTTTCAACGATATGAATAAAATATTTTTAAAATTGAAACTTAGTTGTCGCAGTATTATTAATTTTTAAAACCATAATCCCATGCAAAAAAAAAGAATCTTTAAAATACTTAAAAGTATTTAACTTTATTCACTCATTAAAAGTGAATATAATAACAAACAGTAGCTACTGAGAAAGATATAGAACGAGACTACCAAAATGGTATTTCTCAATAAATATCTGAACAAAATCTGTATGGGGACTACTACTATTATCTTCAAAAGTGGCCATATAACAGTAAGTACTTAATTTTAGAGTTTTTATTTTTTTAATTGTTGCTGTTTCTATTTTTGGCGTTAGATAGGTTTGCTATAACAAGTACATACATTTTGCGTTGTTGAAGAGTTTGTAACGAAATATTGAAATATTTTTTTATTACTATAATATAGGTTTAAAAATTATTAAATATGGTAAATAATTGTTCATAAAGGTACAAAAATTGGTTCCAAAGCGTGTGTATTTGTATTTTAAAAAATTAATAGGTATAGAGTATCATAATATTGAGCGTGTAAATCACAAAGATAAAGAATAATTCTTCATAGAAATTGTACGAAAAAAATGAATTTTAATTATGCATAAAAAATATAAAATTAATGGTGAAATATTTAAAACCTACAAGAGCGAACGTTTTTGTTGATTAAAGTAACACCCAGACGGCAAATTATTTATATTAAATGAGCGGTAATTTTTAACGGAATTGCAAAAATTGTGAAATATTTTGCGGCCAATTCAATGCAGTATGGTTCACATTGTTTATTTAAAAAATATGTTAAAATATAAAATATAAAACATTTTTATGTATTATTTTATCATTATTAAAACTTGTTTTCAGAGGCGTCTAAGTCGAGTAAATTAATTATATGTATTGGTAATTCTTATCCATAATCCAAACTAGAAAATCATTTCTATCACAAAAGCTGACAATTTTTGTATAAAGTTAACACAACTTGACATATCTTTTTGTTATATTTACTCGTTTAAAATGGAGGAAATGGTGCAAATTTGACATATTTTCTTATCAAAATAATATTTATATACAGTATGGTAAAATATTTTAAACAACAACCGAATCAACAGTAGAAATAATAATGGTATATGTATATACTTAAGGTGATTTTATAATTTGGAAAAATGAGTAAACTCAAAGCAATTTTTTTGCTTAAACACGAACCAAAAAAAATACTGGTATATCATAAATACACTGCATTTCAGTGGTAATTATCTAAAATGAAGGGTATGATTGGAATTACTTTCTTTACAAATCTTTTTTTATATAAAAAAAAGTTTTATGGTGTTTTGATTGAAAAACAAATTAATATTTTATGGTTGTAATATTTAAAATAACAAACAAATCATATTATTATTTACCATTTAACTATGTAATGAAAAAGGTCTGTATATTTACTATAATAACCGTTTGTTGTGAATTTGGCATTTATTTGTTCTAATATCAGTGAAATTTTTCCATTAAAGTTTATTTTTATAATAATTACCTATGGCATTGGTGTTAGGATATTCACTTGCCAACAGCAGAGTGGTCCTAAAATAGAGCTGACATAACAGTTTGAAGGCCACCGTTAGAATTACATATTTATAATATGCTCATTTTAATAGATATATTTATTTACATTTTATTAATTTATTACTACTACCCACTATGATTTGAAGTCTGTATATAATCTGATTACTTTTTTAACAAAAATTGCAAGTCATGTATATAGATAAAAGTATTTTTACAACCTATTTCTCATTTTTTCTAATAATGGTATGACATACTGGGAAATTTAAATGTTTAAATTAATGTAGGTATAATATAATGTTTTAATATTTCTATTTATACATATACAGGGTTATTCACCACATAGATACGGAGTATTGTAGCTAAACGTTTAGATTTTTAGAAATTGTTGTTTTGAGTTTCTTGAAGGACTATTACAATTTAAAAATATTTTTACATGATACAGATTGTCCCAAAGAAATAAAACATTTTATAGTTGTATTTTTTTTAAATGGAACACTCCGTATACAATTTTATTTGTAGATAAGGCTTCATTTCTCCAAGGGTATGAAAGTTTTTAATACTAAAAATAATATTTACTAAAAAATATTTATTAAAATATTTACTGAAGTTTATTTAGTGATCAACTATTGTGTTGCAATACTAAAAATAATACTACATTATACACAGTGTCTAAAAATTTATATTAAATATTTACTAGCTTTAAACGGCAATACGAGAATCAGATGCACAATTTAATTGTCTGTCAAATTGTATCATACTATTTCTTATCTATCTCTTCAAGTTTTCGTAGAAAATGAATTTTCTTATAATTTAGACCTCATTTGTTAATATACCCATGGAATATGGATATTTTAGATTTTTTTAAAGCAATAAATGTACAAAATGCACAGGTGACAAAAACGATAATATTGCAAGCAAATATTGCATTTGTTTACGCAAAAAGAAAATCTATTTAAATCTTTGTAAAATAGAATAAAAATTAAATATACCACCATTATTTCCAGCCAAAAGTTAGTTAATTACATACTTAATTGTTTTAGTTAATAACTTATTCTAAATAAATGTGGATTTGAATCAGAAATGTATTGTATATCACTCTGTGTCTTATAATTTTTTTTAAATTGTTGCTCTAATAGTCTTTCAACGAACCCAAAACTTACAAGTTGTAAAAATCTAATCGTTTAGCTACAATACTCCGTGTGACTCCGTGTTGTATGTTATGAATAACCCTGTATTTTATTGGTCCTATATATTTTATTCATTAAGTAAATTAACTTTTCAATACTAAATAATAAATCAAGTAATAAAGAAGATTATTTTTAGTCCAATATTTTATTGGTTGTTTATGTATTTTGTGTTTTTTTATTGGTTTTAATAGCGTTTAACTTATTCTTAACTATAGTAATCAGTTTTTACAAATATTTGGATTTTTTTCTGTTTCTAATATCTAATATAATAATTTTATTACATTTTTTGTAATTTGTATTAGTTATTTTTTAATGCTTATAAGAATAATATTTTTTAATATTAGTCAATGTCTCGTCATAAAATATTCATTCAATGATCTCTTTGTGCAGTTCAAGTCTTAAAAGTTGGGTTTCTGATGCTGGAACCATCGTAATCCTTAGGGACTTTAGGCCTGTCGTCCATGTAGAGAGCTTCTATTCTTAGTTGATAAGGTTAGACCGATGTGATTCGCGACTAGCTTTCTTATTTAAAGTATCAGTAAAATGAAGTCAGTGATCAACGATTTTTCTACAGTTTTTTGACGCTGTTCTGGTCGATGAGCCTGCTTCTAAGATTTTAACTGAGCTTATTTCTCTCGTTTTATTTTGCAATAATTGACTAATATTCTATTAGAATATGACTTTTTTTCAGTATTATTTAATATAGAACGGATATTTTTGTACACGACTTTCTTTGCGCATCAAGGACGATTTTTTTGTGATTAGACACCAGCAGCAATGGGTAGATTATTACCTAAAACACCAATAGATTTCGTTTGCTTGCAAATTAATCGTATAGGACCAGACAATTGTTTAAACATTATAATTGCATTAAGTAATTTAATAGTAAATTTAAAAATACTTTTGTCTAGTCTTTGTCCTTGGTATTTGAATATCGTGTATCTCAATATCTAATAATTATTTGACTTGAAAGGTAACTATATAATATATGATTATTATGTATATACTAATAAGACAATAAGTATTAATTTACAGAAGGCCTCCCTGATTGTTATTATTTTAATTAATATTATTATTGAAAATATTCAAATTATATATTATTTGTTTTTGTTGACTTTTTACTAATTTGTTTGAATAGAATGCGAAAATAAGAAATATGACATTTAGACACATTATTTATTAACTTCTTGGTCCTTGCAGTTTGATATTATACTTAACTAGGTAACACTATTATAGAAAATATATTTTATATTCGAAATTAGATCTATCTTGTTAATTGCATTAAGTAATTTAATAGTAAATTTAAAAATACTTTTGTCTAGTCTTTGTCCTTGGTATTTGAATATCGTGTATCTCAATATCTAATAATTATTTGACTTGAAAGGTAACTATATAATATATGATTATTATGTATATACTAATAAGACAATAAGTATTAATTTACAGAAGGCCTCCTGATTGTTATTATTTTAATTAATATTATTATTGAAAATATTCAAATTATATATTATTTGTTTTTGTTGACTTTTTACTAATTTGTTTGAATAGAATGCGAAAATAAGAAATATGACATTTAGACACATTATTTATTAACTTCTTGGTCGTTGCAGTTTGATATTATACTTAACTAGGTAACACTATTATAGAAAATATATTTTATATTCGAAATTAGATCTATCTTGTTTATAGACCTTTTTCATTCTAACAATATTTTTTTGTTGATTAGAAAAATCAATGTTACGGTAGTTTTCATATGTCTGTTACTATCTAATGACTGTGCTTAGTTACACAGAGTATTTGTAGGACAATACTTTTACTACTTTTTTAAATGAACTGAAATGACGTTGTGTCAGGATTCTGTCATTCCTCCTAACTGCGTCATCTGTCGCCAATTCCCGCAAACTGGCGTTAGCTTTTCGGAGTGTACATTTGGCACAAGCAAACTTTAGATTTTATTGTGCTAGATTTGCGGAAAATGGCCTATGAGATTTCAGGAAGATGAAACAGAATTTCGATATGGCTATGTTGCTTGTTTTTGGTGCCATAATTTTATTATTATAAGATCATATTTTGAAAAATACTCCTCAGCCATAGTTTATTAAGTCTTAACATAATATTCGGTGCTTCACTGTTATTTTCTCAATATTTTTTAACAATTTTACAACTTACATACATAATAAAAGACACATTTTTATAATTTCAAGTTAATTAATAATAATTTAATATATGAATAATAAATTCAGTAATAAAATAATATCAACAGTGCCTTATAAGTCTACCACCATCCATCATTAG